TGCATATGCACACATCTGTAGCGCTGCAGCCTTTATTTTAAGGACATCAGGATTGAAACGTGTTCCAAACTTTCAGACCCAAAGACCCGGAGGCATCTCCCAGCTGTCTCCCTCCCCCTGAGAAGCCACACCTACAAAGTCAACCTGCTTCTGGGCATCACACTCTGGAAATTACTGTTCAGAAAAAAGCGTTGGGTGTCACTGTCGCAGCCCTAACAAGTCCGTGGGCTGTAAAGAAGCCCCATGAACTGTGTCTTCCCTAGAAACACGGCAGCATGAATATCCAATGAGGGCAGCTCACTCTTCCGGACACTGCTGTATTCCAGACGCTATGCTAAGCTCTTAATATTCATCCTCCCGAGACCTCTATGATAGGGATACCATCATGATCCCCAGAGAGAGGTTAAGTAACTTAACCCGAAGTCACACAGCCAGAGAGTGGTAAGATTCCAGCCTAGTCCCAGAGCCCTGCTCTCCCCCAGTATACTTTCTGGCCACCTCGGGACATCACAGTTCCCATATGCATATCTCCTATTTATATGTCCCAGATAGGCCTGGTATCTGCATGAACAAGGAGAGAAAATGGTCTCCTTGCATCCCTACCCACAGCTAAATGGTCATGGGCCTCTTTAGCCAGTGACTACTTCAAAAAATTCTGGGAATGCCTTCACTCAAACCACAGCTCTGAAAAACGTGGGTGCCGGCAGAGGGAGGAGGGAGAACGGCCAGACACTGCGTCCTGCCTCCCCAGGAGGGAAGAGGCATGCCTATCCAGGAAGTGCGCCTGTGGCCAGGGAGGGGCCCATGGACTTCTGAGGGCAGGGCTGAGGGAGGGGCTGCGGGCTGTGCTGGGGAGAAGGAATGAGTGAACAGGAGTAGGCCACCTGCAGGAGGACTGAGCAGCCTTCCTGAGGAGCGGGGGAGGGGCGGTGTGGGGAGGAGGCTGGCCTTCGGGAGGGAAGGCGGGGGCAGAGGGAGCAGCAGGATCCTTCAGGAGGTGGGATAGGGCTGCCCCACTGCTTCCTGGCTGCTAGGGGGCGAGGGAGGGGGGTGCAGGCAGGAAAGGGGGGGTGCAGGCAGGAAAGTCGTGTTCCACCGCCCCACCTCCTGCGCTCTCTCTGCAGCTGCTGGACGGGACACAGAAGCCTGAGGGACAGCAACAGCATTTCTGCCGATTTGCACCAAACTCAGGTTCAGCTGCTGAGAAGTCACATGTGACGGCGTCTGGCTGGGGCCCACGCTGCTGTCTGCATCTCCCAGGTGAGCAGCTGTGGTGTCCCCTCAGAGGTGGAGAGCAAGGCCCGAAGGCAGTGGGCAGAGGGGAGGGTGGCGGGGCTGCCCTGTGGACTAGTACAGTCTCTGGAAGGAAACGGGGAGAGGGCCGGGCTGGAGCTGCAACCAGCCCGTAGGCCAGATTTCTGCAAGTGGGGGAAGAGGGGGAGCTGGAGCTGCACTCGGGCCACTCCCGGCTGGCAGAGTGGAGGAAGGTGCGGGCACTGTGCTCTGACAGCCTCTGGGGCTCCGCACGGCGGGAGAGCAGAGGGGCCAGCTATGCGGCATCAACGCCCCTCCTTTAGACCAGGAATGTCTGTAGCTTTGCCAGAAAATCCCACCGAGCCCCTGCCTTCCTCTCTGTCCTCTTGTGGTGGAGAGAGAGCCTCTAGCAGCTACAGAGGGGAGGACCGAAGCGGGAGGGGTTCCGGGGATGTGGCTGCAGGCAGGAGCCAGACTGCCTACTGAGGGGGCATCTCTGGGAGAGGGCTGAGTGCTCCCTGAGGAGGCTCACCTGGGGCCCGGAGGAAGGGGAGGAAGAAGGGGAAAGAGACATGTGGCACGTAGAATGGGCCACGTGTGCAGGAGTGGGGTGGGGAGTGGGTGAGGTTAGTGGTCTATAGACAGTTCCCCATGAACATGCATAGCATGTTGTCCCGGATAAAGACGGACACCGAAGAAAGCTGTTTCAATCACACAGAGCTTTCCTGCCCCTGTTTGTGGTCCCACAGTCCCTGATCAGACATGCTGGGGTAGTCAGCTGGCTAGTGCTGTGCTCCTCTATGAACCACACACACACACACACACACACACACACACACACACACACGGCCTCTCTCTAAGAACCACTGTGCTGAAAATATCTCAGACCTGGTTCCCTGTCAAGAGAGATGCCAGCCATGCTCTGGCAGGTTCGGGGATAGAGCAGAGAGGTTGGAGGGGTCCCTGGGCCTCAGGACACAGCGGGACACTAGTCACTGACACCCCACTCACTACTGCACTGCGTTCCTCCTGGGGCCTCTGCATCCAACTGGAACTGAGGACTTCTCTCCATTGCTCCCCGCTTCACACACACAGTCACTAAACTTACAGTCAGGCAGAAGCTGCAGGAGGAGCCAGACAAGATGGGGGCCAGTGTAACAGGGCAGGACAGGACCACTCGGCTGCCATGGCCGTCCATTTAGAACCTCCCAGCATCTGGCAGAGGCACAGAGGTGCCGCCAGCGCCAGGAACAAAGCACTGGTCATCGCGTGCGGCCGCATGCAGGGCTTCAGGCAGGCTCTGCTGCAGGAGCCGGATTTCCATCTTGCTGATGAAGAAATCAAGACTCAGATGTGCTGCGGAGGCACAAACGGTTTGTCCACCGTTTGGACTGCTTGACAAATATCAGTTGAATGAATGAATGGCTACATCTTGCTGAGGGTGATAGAACGGCTCCTGCCTCAAGAGGAGCACATGGGAGCCACCCCACGTGCAGAGCTGGCTCCTCTTATCCCTCTGAGCCAGCGGGTGGGAGTGGGGAGGAGGTGAGGGAGGGAGAAGTTTCTGAAAGAAAACACACAGGTGCCCTGGTCGGTTTTGCTCAGTGAATAGAGTGTCCATCTGCAGACTAAAGGGTCCCAGGTTCGATTCCTGCCAAGAGCACTTGCCCAGGTTGCAGGCTCAATCCTCCCCAGCAGGGGGCGGGAGGGAGCAGGAGGTAGCCAATCAATGATTCTCATCATTGATGTTTCTATCTCTCTCCCTTCCTCTCTGAAATCAATAAAAAAGGTTAAGTAAGTAAGAAAGAAAGAAAGAAAGAAAGAAAGAAAGAAAGAAAGAAAGAAAGAAAGAAAAGAAAACACACAGGCACTGAGACTTGACCACCCCAGGCAGCAGTCTCTGCAGCCGTGGTCCCTCTCCTGTGGAGGAGGGATCTGGGTCAGCAGGAGCAGGGAGGAGCTCAGCGGTGAGGCTCCGAAGCCAAGGTTCCTTGGCCAGGAAAACACAAGAGGCTTTGATGCCCACTGAGCACAGCGGCCCTTCCCCAGGATGCTGTGACCGCTCTGGGCGGGGCCCAGCTGCAGGGCAAGCCTCAGTCTGGAGGCCACATCTGGGCCACGCAGCTCTAGGTTTAACATCAAGAACTGGAAGTTAGAAACCCCAGGGCTGCTGTCTGTGAGCTGCGTGGCCTCTTTAAGCCTCAGTTTCCTGACCTGTAAAATGGAAAGAATAATGACAGTAATAGCATCTATCTTTATTAAAGGTTGCTGGGAGGAAGACATGAAATCGTGCCTGTGGAGTGCTTAGCATATTGCCTGGCTCATAATGTCTGTCCGGAAAATGGAGCTGCCAGGAACTACTAGCCCTCCCACCGTCTGGGTTCTCAGGTGGTCCTTTCAGACCAAAGCAAACTCAGGCCTCTGGTGAGGAAATCTGCCCCCTCTCTCACACACACCACCTCCCCTCTCTCTCTCTCAGGAGTGGGCCTCTCTCTACAGCAGCTCCTTAAAAATGTATCGCTCCCACAATCCTTATTCATCAACCCCAGCTGGTTTTCTTTGTTTCATGCTGTCAAAACTGTAAGTCCCAGTATGTGGGGGATACGTGCACCACTGGGGTCCATTGGGGGGGAGGGAGGCAGGAATCCCTGAGGCCATGGATAAATACAGCAAGCTTGGGAGTTAAACATTTAAACTGAAGGTAACTTAAAACACTATTATTTTTTATATATTAAAACAAATGTGACACAGAATTTGCAATCTCTGGAGTGTTTAAGAGGAAGCAATGTCTAAGGTAGTTCAAGCTCTCCATGGGCATGCCTTCCCCACCCCCGGATGTTATGTTTACTTGCCCAGCATCGGGGGTTCTTCATCGCAAAGGCTGGAGAAGCCCTAAGAAGCCGCGAGGGGCTGCTGTATCTTCTTGGCAGCACGCCGGTGTTTTTCTGACTCACCCCATTCTTCCAGGGGCTCGTGTTTGAAGAGGTGGCCCACACAGCCCAGTGCCTGGGACAGTCCCCACTGGCACCATCACGAGATGGCAAACTGGTGCCTCTAGCAGGGACAGCAAGCGCCAGCCTGGTTTTCAACTTCCTGCCTGGCCGGATAAAGAGCCCTAGAGCCTTGGCTGGTTTGGCTCAGTGGATAGAGCATCAGCCCATGGACTGTGGGGTCCCAGGTTCAATTCCAGTCAAGAGCACATACCTTGGTAGCAGGCTCGATCCCCAGCCCCAGTCAGGGTGCATGTGGGAGGCAACCAATTGATGTGTCTTTCACACTGATGTTTCTCTCTGTCTCTCCCCCTCCCTTCAACTCTTTCTAAAAGTAGGGGGGGGGGGGATCAATGAAAAAAATATCTTCAGGAGAGGTCTGGAGAGGACCAGATCTTGCTTCTTTGCTTCCCAGCCTCACATCTGGCCTTCCCACCAGCTAGCACTTGGGGGTTTGAGCCCCCTGGACAGGGCCAGGCACAGTTGGCATTAAGCCAGTGTCCCACCCTTGCCATCCTGGACAGCAGTGCCGGTGGATCTCCATGCGAGTGGCACCTCCGAAGGCTTTCAGGCCGACTGTGGATTTTTCAGCAGGCTCAGCCCCTGCTGCCGCTGTGAGGCACCACAGTGCGGCTGGTGTGGCTGCCAACTGGACACAGACCTGTAGTGAGGACCTCCGTGACTGTGACTGAGCACATTCTTCGTGACCTCCTCTCCATCCTTTCCTTTTTTGCAGGTGTCCTGAGCCAAGCAGAGGCTCTGGCTGTGAGAAGGACAAGAAGTGCCTGGCATCATGGCAGAGGGGGTCTCCCAGGACACGGGGGGCGAGGAGCCTCATGAGCCCCGGAAGCTGAGCATGCACGTAGAGAGTGAAGATGAGGATGGTGGGGAGGCAGGAGACCAAGAGAGCATAGCTGACCCCGATCACCTGGCCTGTCCCAGGGGCAGCTCGCCAGTGACTCGGGACAATGCCCACTTGCTGTGGCCGCAGCCTCCCAGCGAAGAGGAGGAGAAGTTCTCTGACTCTGGTGCTGGGGTCCCGGGGGGAAAGCCTGTGGCCTCACGTGGGAAGTCCTTGCGAGGAAGAGATGAGTCAAAGACCACTCAGACCCTCGCCTCCCCGGGGTCAAGCGTGGCTCAGAGCGCCCTCTTCGGTGGCCTCTCACACAGGATGTCAAGTCGGAAACAGCCTCCTAGGGCCTCATTATCTGCAGGCGATGATGGAGACTTCCCTGGAACCGGGAGATATTCCTGTGCACAACGAGGTGTAGACATGTCCCCAGACAACTGCTCCCCTGCGTGTGTCCTCAAGCAGGAGACACACACAGGATCCCAGGGGTCGCCCACCACAGCCACTTTGGCAGTGGCAGGGCCGGCAAAAGTGGGAACTGGCCAGCAGGGTCAGAGACCGGCGGGTGCGGGCGGACAGGAGGAGACGCTTCCTTGCAAGGGCTTACAGGGCAGCCGGGCCTTCCAGAAGCCCACCGACCCGCTGGGCGTGCAGATGCGAGGTGACAAGCCCTACGCCTGCGAGCTGTGCGGCAAGGCCTACTCCCACCGGGGCACCCTCCAGCAGCACCGGCGCCTGCACACGGGCGAGCGGCCCTACCGCTGCCCCTTCTGCAGCAAAGCCTACACCTGGTCCTCGGATCACCGCAAGCACCTCCGCACCCACACTGGCGAGAAGCCCTACCCGTGCCCCGACTGCGGGAAGGCCTTCGTGCGCTCCTCCGACCTGCGCAAACACCAGTGCAACATGCACAGCCGCGACAGGCCCTTCCCCTGCGCGCAGTGCGGCCGGACCTTCCACAAGCCGCTGTCGCTGCTGCGCCACCAGCGCGCGCACCGGGGCCAGAAGCCCTTCCGCTGCCCGGCCTGCGGCCGGGAGTTCGCCGTGGCCAGCCGCATGGCGGAGCACCAGCGCGTGCACTCGGGCGAGCGGCCCTTCCGCTGCCCCACCTGCAGCAAGAGCTTCTCCAAGTCCTCCAACCTGACGGAGCACCAGACGCTGCACAGCGGCCAGCGGCCCTTCAAGTGCGCCGACTGCGGCGCGGCCTTCGCGCAGCCCTCGCGCCTGGCGCGCCACCAGCGCATCCACACGGGCGAGCGGCCCTTTCCCTGCGCGCAGTGTGGCCAGGCCTTCGCCCGCTCCTCCACCCTGAAGCGGCACCAGCAGATCCACTCCGGGGAGAAGGGCTTCCTCTGTGCCCAGTGCGGCAGGGCCTTCCGGATCGCCTCGGAGCTGGCCCAGCACATCCGGGGCCACAACGGGGAGAGGCCCTACCAGTGTGAGGACTGCGGCCAGGCCTTCACCAGGTCCAATCACCTCCAACGGCACCGAGCCAAGCACGGCACCTGCAAGAGGGACCCCATCCCCTCCTGCGACGAGTGAGGGCTCCACCAGTGACTCTTTGGGAAGGCAAAGACATTGTCAACCTCACTGCTTGGCACCTTCCTCTGTGGACAAGCCACACACATGGAAATGCCACCTACGCCCCCCCTTGCCCCTCCTTCCAGTGGGTCACTGGCCGTGGCCATGGGGGAATCCAGCCAAAGTGGAAAGTTTGGGTTTGGCAGCTATTCATCACTCATTCCTTAGAAAAACAGTCAATAAGGTGGCCATGAGGAAGGGATTAGAGAAAGGAGTGAGGGTTCCTTGAAGGCCCAGTGTTGTTTTATCTCATTGTTTTACTTCTGACTAAGGGAACTTCCCGTGCCTGCGGTGACTCCTGGCACTCAACATTCACCCATCTTATTGTCGAAATGCATGCACACTGAGCAGTTATGTTACCCCTGACATGAACACAACAGATCACCCAGGATTTCCAACGAGGCCTTAAAAATTAGTCCTGGGAAAGAACTTTTGCATAAGGCATCAATTCAATTGCTAGAATACTCAAGCAGATGTCATTGCTTGACAAAGAACTAGACTATGATCTACAAACTCAGTGACCCATGCAAATATTGCCAAAGCTGGGATGACTCAGTGTTTCATCAAACCAGAAGAGGGTAACCTTTGAAAGTTGAGAGGGAAGCTTATTTTCAACAGTAGTTGCCCCCTCTCCATTCTGCATAAAACCGTACCAGAGCGATTAAAATTCTTCCCTCATGGCTGGATAATATTTTTATTTCTCTCTCCTTATTTTCTCCTTAACCACCCCTGTACCCCTGGTCAAATTGGCTCAGAGTGTCACAGTCTCAGGAGTATCAGGCACTCCTTAGATTGGCTCAGCAATTAAATGGAGCTTTTATAAAACATCAGCTATAATTAAACTTTAAAGAAAAAGCAGACCTCTCTGTAAAGCAAAGAAGATGTAGAGGAAGACCAGAGATAAGGAGGGAAGTAAGGGTCCCATGTGGTAGTTGATCAAATCAAGGGTTAGTGGGGCAGCAGATAAGAGGAGATGCCTAAGACTCCAGGGGAGGCATCATAAGGCTCGGTGACAGGATATTAACAGCAACCATTTAATGAGCACTTTTTAGGGATCAGGCACTGCATTTATTATCCCAGTTAATCCTGACAACAATCCTTACGAGAGACCCTTGAAAATATTCCCATATGGGGTCTGCAACAACTTCCCTTTCCAGGAAAGCAGATAAGATTAATGCTTGTGGCTATTGTCTATTATTATAAAAGCTTGAGAACCACTTGATGGGATTCACTGAGAACACTACATCAGTCATATGGTATTCCTGCCAAAAATACATAACCCAATCCAATCCTGTGTAAGCCATCAGGCACATCCAAGTTAGGGACAGGAAACAAATAACTGACCTGTACTCTTAGGTCAATGTCATGAAAAAGAAAGGAAGTCCAAGGAACGGTTCTAGATTAAAAGAGACTGAAGAGACACGATGGCAACTACATGCAATGTGACTCCTGGGTCAGGAAAAAAATTTCTAGAAAGAACTTAATTGGGAAAATTGGTGACATTTTCTATATATATGTTAAGTTTCCGGGATTTGGTAATTATACCTTGGCTACATAAGAAAAGATTTTTGTTCTTGGGAGTTACATGTGGGAATACTTATAATCAATGGCTCTTACTGGCTGCAAATTACTTTCAAATGATTCAGGGGGGAAATATGTGACAAAATATAAATACATATGAAGGAAAAGAGGGGAGGGAGGACAGAAAGAGAAAGAAAGCAAATGCAACAAGAGGTTTACAATTGGTGAATCTAGGTGAAGCTTACACAGGATGTCATTGGTAGGGAAATGGAAATTTTTATTCTCTGCCAGAAGGAACATAAATTAGTACATTTCTCATTAATTTCTGCTCTTGCCTTTATTTCATTTCTTCAGCTTTTCTTGTACATATTTTTAGTCTAATTTCTTTAGATGGACAGAATGCTTGTTTATTTTCTTTTCTATAATAGTATATGCCTTTAAGGCTATAAATTCCCCCCTAAGGGTTTTTAGAGCTAAATTATAGATCTTGACATGTAATATTTTCATATGCTCAATTCAAAATATTTTATAATTCTGCTATGATTTTTTCTTTGACTATGGGTAATTTATATTATGTGCTAAATTTCCAAATAGATGAGAATTTTCTGGTTACCTTAATTGTATTAGGCTCAATAGCATATTTTATTTAGTCTATATGGTTTCATTCATTTTAACTTTGATGAAATTTGTTTTATGGTCCAGTTTATAATCAATTTCTTTATATGTTTCATGAAAGTATTTTTTGAAGTACTTGGGTAGAGTGTTCTATATTTGTCCATTAGGTCAAGTTTCTTGATTATTCTTTTCTGGTATTTTATTCTTATTTAAGTGTTTTTGCCTGCTTATTCTATAAATTACTAAAAGAGGTATACATAAAAACTCCCACTGTGATTCTAAACCTATTTATCTTTTCTTTTGAGCATTTTTACTTTACATATTTTGAAATCATGTTATCTTCACTTAACATGGGGGGTGTGAAGAAGGAAAATTAGTTGTAAGGATAACTCCAGTTCCTTTTAATCAATCAAAAGCATTGCTGGACAAGTAACTCACACTGTAGGACACTTTCCTTGATGACATTTGTTATGGGGTACGTTGTGTCCCCCTGGAAGAGATAATGTTGTCATCCTAACCCCCCAGTGCCTCAGAATGTGATCTTACTTGAAGATGGAGTCTTTATAGAATGAATCAAGTTAAAATTAAGTCAGTAGGATGGATCCTAATCCAATATGACTGGTGTTCTATTGAAAAGGAGAAATTGGGATACAGACGTGTGTAGGGCGAAGATGACTATTGACAGGCCAAGGAGAGAGACCTTGAGCAGATTCTTCTTCAAATCCCTCGGAAGGACCAACCTTACAGACACCCTGATCTCAAACCGTGAGGAAATAAATGTCTGTTTTTCAAGCCACCCAGTTTGGGATCTTTGACTATGGAAGCCTTAGCAAACTAATAGGACATTTATAACATTCAAGGCTATTCTGTTATTTAAAAAATGTGTTTTCAGTATAGAGAGGAAAACCTTTTCTTTCCCTAAACATGTAACCAGAAGTTAAGAGTAAAGTTGATCTGCTATTTAACAGAATATCATTTTACATTCTAACAGCAAAATTAATTTTTTAAAAAAAATCTGGAATCAAGAGAAAGTTTTGTTTAATCAACTTGGTGGGCCAGTCTTTATTGAGCAAAGGAAAACAATTTCCATGTTCTCAGAATTGCATTTTATTATTTCCTAATTAAGGCTGAGAAAGACAATTCCCAAGCTTTCTTCGGAGAAGATTAGTGCAATAAGCATAATTACCTCTAAGAGGTTTAATAATAAATCACCCAATCTCCTGAGCATAATAAATACAACCAGGGAATAATCACAAATTCAACTTCAGGGCAGCACGAATTAGAAATGTAGTGCAGACACACTGAACTTTTCTGGAAGTCCAGTTTTTAAAGAAGCTTTGTTTTCTTAGCATAGATCTTGGGACATGCTATTTTTGAGGCCATGTACTACTAGAAAGAGAAGGGTGTGCTGATGTATAGGTAGGTTGAGCTGTCCTAAGATGATGTCACCAATGTCCTCCTACAAACTCTTCATAGTGCCTTGTTAGAGAGAAAACACGTGGCTGAATAAAGAACAGATTATGGATGGATATGGGCCCTAGACAGAACTTAAGAATACTGTAGCCCTTTGCGATCATATATGCAGGTTTTCTTGTTAGTGATATGCTGATTTCTCTAATTCTCAAAAGAACCTGATATTGTGAGCACTTTTGAAGTTCTTGTCCCCATTTCCTAGAATATGCATTTGATATATTTGATAGATTATCAACTGATGAATAAGATAAACCGACTGATGTGATTCCAACTTTATTAGATCTCACAAATCCAGAGCAAGCTTACTGATTATGGAATATGCTGATACCCAATCTGATACACTAGATATGGAAACAATGGGCTGGATCAATTAAAGTCTGATTTAAAGTACTTGGGTTTTTATCCCCAGGTCAAAATGTTGACAAAGGGCCACTTAACTCGTTTTTAGTTTATAGATTCTACAAAACAGAAGAACCTTGGAAGTCATCATCTTCAATCCTCAGCTTCATTCAGGACACTCTTATACATGGTCACCCAACTCTTCCTAAATACTCCAGGTGATTAGAGTGACCTAGGAAACGGAACATAGAGGGATTTAGCAAGTGATTTATTCATTGGGGGTGGAAGGTTGTGAGGAGGGAGAGGAAGCAAAGAAACCCTCAGTAGCATTCTTCAGAGGCCACCACCCAGGGCAAGAGACAGGAGCAGTTTCCATGGTAATACATAAAACCTCATTCTCTTCTAGGCCAGAGAACCTGATTTCACTCAAGCTGTGGAGTCTGAACCACTCAATCCTCTGTCAGCTGCGGGTGCTGCCTCTAGAAAAATGCCTTTTATTTTAGCAGGCTATTATTAACGATTCCTCTTTCTTGTCTCAGAAATGTTCCCTTACTCAGTGATGTGCTGGGTGAAGGACTATTTTTTGAAAATTTCCATCTCCCTCACAGCTTTCAGATTTGGCTCATGTGAAAAAGAGGTGAGAAACTGGAAACTTTCCTTTACCCAGACCGAAAGCTTCATCACCGATTGTCTCCATATACATGAATCTACACTGCGTCATTTTCCTGTTAACATCTGTAGTAGTTTTGATGTTTATGGTGGTTGGGTTCAATTCACAGACCCATCCCTTTCTAGTTCTGTGATTTGGAGCAAGTTAATAAGCCTCCCAAAGCCTCAGTTTTCTTATTTATATTCTGGGATATGATGCTAGTACTTGCTTCCTAATGGAAAAATGGATATAAAGTGCTTAATCCACAGCCAAAAGCTGAATAAGTTGTTATTAATCCCACATCTAGACTGTTTTTCTAGCTTTTCCATTACTTAATGGAGAATTTAATTTCTTACTAAGTTTCAATACTTATTATTCAAAGGAGTTGGGAAATGTGGTATTTTAACTAATTGAATATTATGAGTAACAGAGTTCACACACACACACACACACACACACACAATCAACATATGAGATCAAGAATACTGAGGGAATGATATTCACAATTATATTTGAGACAATTTTATTGCAAAGCACTTAAAACTTAGAATTTGAATCTAGTTGGCTAATTCCAGAATCCCTACTTTAAGTTTCCAAAGGTATGAATGTAAGTAGGTCTTGTGTATAACCGTCTTACAAATACATAAGCCGAAATAATTCCTTTTTATCTACAAGTTTATGGCACATGAAAGCACAGACCCTCATTCTATAACCATAAGAAAGTCATTTAAACTCTCAAGCATACTTTTCCTTCTCTGTAAAACGGAGACAAGGTTAATACCTTCTCCCTAGAGTTGCTGTGAAGTTTAAAAGTGAAAAAGAATGGAGCCCATGGGCTGCACTCAGTAATGTTAGCACCTGGATCTCTTCAGCCCGCCCTCTGGCTGCTGCTCCAGGTGAATGATAACAATACACAGCTGCCCCTAGTCCTCAGCCAAACAGAAGTCTCCTTGCCCAGGTAGCAACGCCTCCTGGTTCGCAGGGCAGATCTCAGCCAATGGCAAGGGGTTTTCTTGTTACAAAAGGTTGGCCCTCGCCGCAAGTTGGGCTTAGCTGTGTGATGCTGCTGCAGCCCCCTGGTGGAATTAAGCCTACTCGGACCCTAGTCTTCAGCAGGTACCACACTCTCGTAAAGCCTCTACTCCTGCCCTCTCTGCTTCTTTCCTTCCTCGTATCCTGGGGGCGCTTCTTCCATCACTTATAAGAATTTCTTTTTCATCTCAGTCCTAGCTGCTCGGGTACCCAACCTAAGACAGCTGGTTGCAGACAAGGCCTTAGGAAGCTGACCCCGAGGACCTGACTCTGGAATTGGCTGGCTTGCTGGCTGAATGGCAAAGAGGACCCCTCAGCTGAAGGTAGGTGAAGAGTTGATCCTTCCTGCTTTGCTACACACTGTTATTGCTAAGATGTCCGTCTGGAATGAGCTGGGGGCAGGGGAGAATGGGGGCAGAGGCGCGGGGGGCGGGCTGATTCAGGTGGAAGGGCAATGTGCTATCCGGTGTCATGTCTCAGCCTTTGAGAGGTGTGGGAAAATGACAATTCTAAGGTCTCTGGAATTGGGTGAGCAGTTGAAGAGTGAAAATCACTGACTTGGGATGTATTGGTCCAAAATTGAAAGCAAAGTGTGAGAGGCAGAGGCCTTCACTCCTGCCTCTGGGATGAGGCGGGAGCAGAAACAGCTGAAGCTCAGGCACAGGCCTTAATTGGGATCTTTCAGAGCTCTGAGAAGGCTGAGTTCTGAGCCTAGGCGAATCTCCTAAGCCAGAGTTGGGGCCTTATTGGGCAGGGAGTCACCCCGAGGCCTCTGATACAGATCTTTTCTGCGTCCTGCACTTTGAGTTTCCCCTGAATCCCCTATCCTGAAGAAGTGGCCTATTTCTCATTGTTTGAAGGTGGAGTCTCCTACCCCAAGTTGCTTGAAGCCTAGAAAGAGACTTCAATGATGACCTCACAGAACAGTGCTCAAAACCGGGTTCTTCTCAGAGTATGTTCCCGTTTTCCTTTCTGGCCACCAGGCTCATAATTAGCATCAAATCAGCCAAG